TTTATAAATGTCATAGTTTATAAACGAAATATTTAACTTACAAATTAAAAATCTACAGTACTATCAAACTCTTCACCCACGCGCCTACAGAAACGTAACTCCGCCTCCACGTTTTACGCATGAGGGCTGTTATTTATACTCTCGGTTACACACAAACTTCACGTCACCAAACAAAGASTAACACAGTGTCAAGATATATCCCTGAATTCGTGAGAGCTTCATCTTTTCAAAGATACCAAAGGGAGGGGTGTGGAACCAAAACTTACACAGTAACAGACGAGGAGAACTTCCTGATGCTGAAACGGTCCATGACGGTTCAAGTAACTTACAAATGTTTATATAGCTCTAAAATCATAAATATTTATCCAAACATAATTTGGCGACTCATTTTAAAAACATTAAAGACACCTTTTGTGATGGACTTAGAAAAGATTTGGGAAAAATAAGTTTTACACCTACTTTAGCAAACAACAATGAATGACACCATCTGCTGGCCCGGTACAGGGCCCGTAGGGTAGAACAGGTCTCAAATGATTCACCTCCATCAGATTCCTTAAAGAACCTGAAGATACGAGGCATCAAATCTCTATTCTACCTCTCCCAACTCCTCACACACTTTTGCATGGAGTTGCCTCATCAACATGTCGATGTTATCACGTTAAAAACTAATGGGTTTGCATATCACCCAGGCAGTGTGTGATATGAAAGTTGAAGTAGGTATAAATGTACATAGAGTCAGGGGTGCTTAACCTTTTTTGAACCAAGAGCTACTTTTGAAGTCAGCAGTTTGCCGAGATCTACTCGTCCAGTCTCAGTATCAAAAAACATAATTTTTCATTTCCCTACTCCTCACTTCTTTAAATAAAACAGAACGTAATGTGTTGCTAGTTTTATTTGATTTAAAGTATTGTCAAACAAAACTATCTACTTACTGTAACCATATATTTACCTACGAAAAAAAAAGAAAAGATAAAATCCTTACTTAACTCCTGATAGAGAAACAGAAAAGTGATGCTTGAACAAAAAGGCTCAATTTTTTATCTCCTTCATTTAGTACTCACTGTAAAGTGCGAGCTATGAGGCTGGAAACATGCACAGTGAGAGAACCCAGAGTTAAATAACTTGGGAGCACGAGAACTCGTCTCCATTTATTCAAAGAACTCTCCTCTCTTCTCTCTATACAGGAGAGGGAAAATAAAACAAAAAACTAAAGTCAAAGCACACAATATAAAACTCTGTTTATACTATTGCAAAAAGTGACTTATGATGGTGCAGATTCACAGATCTCCAACTATTTCAAACCTCAATCTGCAGCATGCAGGATGGTGTCATCTGTAGGTGCTGAAGAGCTCAGTCCCTCACTGGTCTAGACTGCCGGCTCCAGACCATTCAAAGAGTTCCACCTGGTTCACCACCTATAAACAAGACACACACACAGCCACGTTAGGTACGGAAAACAAGGGCACACCCAAACTGCAAAATAAATAAATAAATAACACAAATGTGCCAGTCAGTGTATAAGACACTAGTCTGGTCTAAAATGTAATAAAAAAAACTACATACAGACACATTGTGACAAGTCTAGAGGAGACAACTTTTTATGCAAGCTATAAAAAAAATAATGTATAAATAAATAATGTAAAAAATGTATGTCTACATTAGTGGGACTTCTGACACTGAGAGGAGGCCAGGGTCTCATAGGCATGCAGTATGAGGTGGCTGAGGTGTAAGCAGGTCTCCAGATGATCACCAGTCTTTGCGGATCTGTTGTTGGACTTGATGATTTTCATGTGAGAGAAAGCAGACCCCAGGACTCTCCATCCATGCGACTTGTTGCTCTGGATTTGATCCTGATGTCATTTTGCAGATTCAAAACCTCATTTTCAACCCAGAGCAGTCCAGACTGAAACACGGACAYGAATTTGGACACATCCATCCATCCTGGTGGACAACTGCACGTCTTTATAGCAGCCACAATCTCACTTTTGTTTTTAAAATCATGGAAAAGCACGTCTGCAGCATCAAACACTTCTTTCATAACTTCGTCATCGCTGAAAGACGTGTTGAGGCAGGTACAGGGCTGCATTGGCATAGCAGCCTTACCTTAGGAGTGGGAATCCATCTCATAGCGTTTGTGCATTCTTTTGAAAGAAATGCTGTTCCACGCTATCCTTTTTGGACAAGCCAAAGCAGCGCACGAATTACATATAAGTCCTCTTCCCACTCCAGGTGAAAATAATAAGATTTTATTTGCTTGTAAGCTGTCTTTCGTTCATCATTTTTTTCCGCCTCGCTGCCATGTTTTAACACATGACCCTAATCTCGCAAGACCATGTTCTGAGTGCTGTTTCACAGCACCCAAAACTAGCGAGACTGGAGCGCGTTCAAGAATGCAATGTTAAACAAACGTTGCAAAGAGTGCATTGAAGACTGCAATGTTAAACAAATGTTGCGAAGAGTGCGTTTAAGGCTGCAATGTTTAACAATGTTGCGTTCTACAAGCTCCGTGATCCAATGCTCCGTGAACTACTGCTAACCAGCTAAAGATCTACCGGTAGATCCCGATCTACTGGTTGGCCTGGCCTGATCCAGACCACAATGCATTGCAAAATATTAATTTTGAGAATGCTCAACATTATCTGTAAAAAGGTCAACATAAAATCAGCAAATCATTATCCATTAAAAACAGAAGAATGANATTGCAAAATATTAATTTTGAGAATGCTCAACATTATCTGTAAAAAGGTCAACATAAAATCAGCAAATCATTATCCATTAAAAACAGAAGAATGAATGCTGTAAATTAGACATGTGAGGAGTTTGCCAGCAGCTCCACAAATACCAACAGCTCAAAGGTGCATTAATTACATATTGTCAGGCCCGTGTGTTTTAATATGTACAGTACATATTTGATATATAATTCAAATACACTTAAATTAGTAACATATTTGTAATTATTTTCTTTGTTAGTACACTGTCTCTGAGCGGGTCAGTTCAGAAGTTCTCTTCACACAGAATATGTATGAAATATTTCTAAAAAAACAAAAACTAGAGAAGCTGACAGTGAGCCTGCTCCACCACTGATGGAGGACTCTCCATCCATCAATAATACTTGTTAATCTGCAGCAGAGCTGGAGCTGACATGTTGGAGGCGCTGCACACACTGAGCAGGTTTCCAGTCATGCACAGAGCAGAATCATGGATGTGTACACTCACAGCCACAGCTTTAGGCAAAGCAGAGGCATCAGGATGTGTTATTGAAAGTACTACTACTACTTTTTTTTGCCTTTGTTGTCACAAAAAAGTAAAGTAAGTGTACTTAAAATGGACAAGAAGAGCATAATAAATATTGTTACCATGCTCTTGTTTATTTGACCTGAAAACAATCAACCAACAACAGCTGGGGGCTCAGGTCTCCACCTCTGGTATTTTGTGGGTCGAAAGCTGAAAAGTTTGGGAACCTCTGTTTCAGAATGCCAGTATGATGTAAATTTCTAAAACTTATGTTAAAATATTTTAAGCAACAGTTTTATAAAATTATCAGCTACTGAGCACAGTTTGGACCTAGTCCACACATGATAATGGCTTTATTTATTTAACAAATGCATTGTTTTAAAAGTTAGCAAACTAGAAACAAATACAGCCACCTACATGACTACAATCCTCCTCCCGGTCACGTTGTTCTCCAGACGTAGGTTCCAGTGAGGATGATGATGCACCAGCAGAAAATAAATGTCAGTTTCTGACACTTGGCTGAATTTGCTTGTAGATACTTTTTCTTTTCTCTCAATGTTTGTTCTGCTCCCTTATGTTTATTCTCCATTTTTGCTTCTTATTTTTATTATTCATTTTCTTCTTCTTACTTCTTCCTTTTCTTCAGCAAACTTTTCATCTTCTTCAGTCTTTGTTGGTTGGTAAACAATGAATTGCTGCATCATCGCCATCTACTGGTAGTGAGCGTAACTACACAACTCTTTTTTTTTGCTCCGGCCCACCAGGAAAAGTCCCGGTACTCCCAACAGCCAGTCCGCCCCTGGTATTTATTAGCAGACTGAGAGCAAGGATCAGCCACATGGGGAAAGTTTGAAGTTTGTTGGTTGTAGAGAGAGTGGCGGGATGTGGTGTGTGTGAATCAGCTGAGCTGCCAAAAGTGTTGCAGCAACTCACTTGGTGTGCCGTCAGTCCAATGTGGGTGTGATGGGGTTGTAGTTGAGGCATGAGACCAGTCGTTCTACAATCAGACCGCACTGATGGACTTGTGTCACTGCCATGGATACACTGCAGTGATACAACAGTAATAAATAAACACAACCTGTTGAATGAAGTTTTAAAACTTTTTAAACTCTCCATGAACAATCACACTGTTTTACACCTCCTTCATCAAATACACCTGAAGACCTAAAAACACCCTACAAAGACCACCCACATTCTGGCTGATTTTATTTTTATTTTTACCTGCAGAGCAAGTTTGTCATCCATTGTGAAGGGAGCGTTAATGAGTAAAAAGCCCAGTTTGTGGAGAGAATAAGTACTCTACAGCAGAGACTGGGAGGAGAGAAATGAAAATGTTTTGAACAAAGGAAGCTGAATTCCTTTTCTTTTGTTTTCTGTCTCTGCAGCATCCTGTTTGCAGACATCGAGGGTTTCACCAGTCTGGCCTCGCAGTGCACAGCGCAAGAGCTGGTCATGACTCTCAACGAGCTTTTTGCCCGCTTTGATAAGCTGGCAGCGGTAAGGAAGCAAGCCCAGGTGTCCATGTGGAWAAACTTGGAAAATTTCATCAGATCGCATTTTTCCATAGCTAATCATGTTTACAACCCAGTCAATCTTAAACACTAATTACCAGTGTATCTGAGATAAAGACACACAACTTTAAATTCCTTTCAACTTCAAAATAATCTCTGTAACAACACAGGTTCAGGTGAGTCACGAGCAGCTTTGGAGCAAAAGACCTGTGACAAAAACTGGAAGAAAACACACTCAAAGGTGCAGTTGACATAAGTTCAGCTCAAAAAGAAAAAAATCAGTAGGTCCTCTGGATGGTTCTTCTTTAGTGAAATGTTTCGTCTCTCCTCCAAGAGACTTCTTCAGTCGAGTTTAGGTGAACTCAGCCTTATAAGCTCCGCCTCCACCTGGTGGACAAACAGGTTAGTCACATGCAAAAGAGGRCCATCGACTAACAATAGGCTTGATTAGTTCTATTGTTCATAGAGGGTCATGTGTCCCATCACCTGACTTAGTGGTTTGGATGCTGTGGTTCTTAGGTGTCGTGTCATGTGTATGTAGTGAATGCAGGCGGGGCTCAAAGTCGCCCTGTTATTTTTTTTCCCTCTTTGTGTTGGTATCGTTGGGGCCCTGATTCACACCTTTTGCTCACAGGGGGCGGAGTCATACTTGCAATAACAGCGTTGTAGGAGGAGGACAACTGGACACGAAGGCCTCCACCTCTGTTTAATGGTGGACGGTAAACAAAGATGGAGGCCTTCGTGTCCAGTCCATTGTTAGGCGATGGCCCTCTTTTGTATGCGACTAACCTGTTTGTCCAGGTGGAGGCAGTGCTTCAATTCAATTCAATTCAATTCAAT